GTGTATCTATGTGTGTGTGTGTGCCTGCGTATGTGTGTGTGTCAGATCTCAGAGCAGAGACTCCAGGCAGAGCGTACCGTGACAAGCCTCATTAAGAAGGAATCTCGCCGCTGTTCTGGCTGTCGACATCACCAGCACCAGGCTTCTCTAATTATGCTCTCTAAGTGCTGTTTCGTGCAAGCAATCAGCCCACCGCTCCTTGCATATGCAAATATGACAGACCTGATCATTAGCTTTTATATCTCATACACTCTAATTGATATTGTAAAAACTGCCGCACAGAGCCAAGGGCAAACACTCTTTCCCTCTGTCTCTCCCTCAATCTATCACTGACTGTCGACTCTCATTCCGCTACATGTTCTATGAGGCTTTGTCGCTCTAAACAGTCATGTGTATGAATGTCATGGTAGTATAATCAGCTAACAAATGTCTCTACTTGACATTGTTTCATCAGAGCAGAGGGGGAAAAAATAATAGAGGAGCACTTCCTGGCGGGGGCTAATTGGCCAAATGGAGTCAGTTAGGCAGAACAACAGTCCCATCACAGCAATGATGATGATGATGACGATGGTCCCAGAGAAACGACTTGGAAGCCCACTGGCCCAAATATAGATAAGATAAATTAACAGATAGAAGAAGATTTATTTGTCCCGAGGGAAATTGTTGTGCAGGAGTTGTTGTACAACGTAGCAATCTATAGATTGCAAATACTGTATAATAATAATAATATAAAATATCTATAATAGCTAAATATACACAATGCCTCTTACCAGGTTACCGACATCAATGGTTCATCAAAAAATATAAAAACGTTAACGGTAAAGATCATGGATAAGTACTAGAAGTAGCATTTAGCTATGTGTGTACAAAATCAAATCTGAAGTAAAGGCAAATGTATATGGTTAATTCCGAATGTTGACATGGTTATGCCCATGATATTGCACATTATGTCCCATAAATCAGAGAGCTGTAATGAATGTAATTCACAGAGAGACAGTAATCCAGAGAGAAAGAGGGAGATTTAACAAACATAATTGAAATGTAGGGTGGAGTTAGTGCCCCACGTGTCTGCTGTCCATATCTCTGCATGAGGTAGATGGGTTGTAAAGTTCAAAACGCCGCAGTTTGTACAGCATACTCCTCTCTGAAGACACCACCAAAGAATCAAGCTCCACCCCCAGGAGAGAGCCAGCCTCCCTGATGACCGACTTGATAGTCTAACATGAGCTGCAGGTGACTGCAAGGGCGTGAGACAAATGTTTGTGCAGCTGCAAACTTTGTGTAGCTGGAGAAAAACAACTGAGGCTGCCAGACTTGGTGCCTGCAGCTGCCTTGCTCCTGCAAGGTTTTAATGTCATTATTTAATTAAACAAGGTAATAGGCAAGTTATAAGGAGACAGTGTTCTTGTTCCCACAAAGGAATGTGGGCTGTCCTCTGGTGTTCTTGAGTTTCTCACCAATTCACATCTGGGTGTGAAGATGAGAATATACTTTGATGTGAGGCAGTTAAACAAAGAGGAAGGTCAGTTGCCATGGTTACGTGTGTGGAGGGGCAGTTTAAGGTTTCCTGCCCTCCTTCCAAAAGAGTTCTGATTTAGTGTTGATGTTGTCACTTTTATCAGTCAGGGCTTTGAGTCTTATCTCAGCTTCACCAGAGGCGGTAAGTTTTACGATCTAACTGCCCAAAACAGCACTTAGGGAAAGCAAACCTTTCACTTGAGTCAGGCTGTCTGTTGAGGGGGAAATATCTCAGCCCCACCAGATCTAACTGGTAGCTCTCCAACTTCCGCACAAGTTCTGGCTCTTTCCCCCACAGAGAGGTGACGTTCCGCTTCCCCAGAGCCAGTCTCTGCTGCCCGGGTCTGGTCCGTCGAGGCCCCTGACCTTCACTGCCCCCCATGTGGCAGCGCACCCGACCCCTGCAGATCTTCCGATGGATGGTGGGTCCAAAGGATGGAAAGGGGTGCTACATTGCTTTGTCGGGCTGTGCCCGGCCGGGTTCCGTGGCAAACCCGGCCACCAGGGGCTTGCCGGCAAGCCCTCCCTCAGGGCGTGGCTCCAGACGGGGGGCCCGGGCTTCCTCCGGGCAGGGTCTCTCATCCTCTTCCTCGTAATTTCATCAGGTGTCTTTATGAACCATTCTCAGTCTGGCCCCTCACCTGGAACCACTTTGCATTGGGAGACCCTACCAGGAGCACTAGGCTCCAGACAACACAGCCTCCTGGCTCACCAGGGCACGCAAACCTCTCCACCACGATAAGGTGATGGTTCCCAGAGCTGTAAAGCCAGCTTCATCAACATTGTGATGGTTCACATCAGCATCAAGTGCCATCACCCATCAAAAATTTTACAGTGTAGTTTTAATATACATAAGTAGGCGATGCATCTAATGACATTTAACCACCTCTGTGACCTCTCTATTGGTGTCCATGCCCACCTCAAGGATACCTTGTCCACCAGCTCTTCCTCTTCCTTGCTGTCTATTCTGCTCCATATTGAAAGAAATTGCCAGTGTTTACACACTGCCTTTTATTGGGTGACCAATTGTGGTTACCAGAAGAAATCATTCAGCATTAATGAATATTCATGTGTTAGGTAAGGTTACATGTAATTCAGATGTTGATGCAAACACACATTTTATACAGCTGACAAACCAATTTAAAATCTAGAGGTTTACCAAACGGTTTAGTGATTAATGATTAAAATCAGTTGGATTAAGTGTTGGTCAAATGTATTTATGCAAATCAGAAAAGATGCATATCAAAAATATTGTGAGCTTTGATTTGTGAAAGACAATTATTTCATATGAAAGGTATTTCTTTGATGACACACTGATTAGGTGTAGTGAAAAAGTTATTGTGTAATTTTGTGTGTTGTACCCTCCTCCAAGTAAGATGAACATGTGTGCCTTCATTTATCAGTGTTGGCTGAAAATATAGTTCTTGGGGTGAAATTCCCCACGTGGTGTAGTTTGGGTAATATTGCAAGTCCTAGAAATTCGTATCAGCATTTAAGGCTCTCCTCAGCGAGAGCCTAAACGATCTGCCTCGCTACACCAGCACACGACAGTAAAGAAAATAGCACTGGCTACCACTAAATAGCAGAACATCCTCTGCATGGAACTGCATCCTCCGCAGAAACTGTCAGCTCTGGGGGTCTTGTACAATGCCTCAGTGTTCTTCCTACAGTCTAGCCAGGTGTACTCCCAGTTACTTGCAGTCCTGCACAGTGTCCACATCCACCAACTGGATGGAAATAGGTCCTTTTTTCCAACTAGTGTTAAGCTGCAGGTGGTTAAGCTCACAACACTCAACCCCTTACTTCCCCTCGCTGATGCAGTTTTCCAGGGACTTCTGCAGGTGGCAGGAGTTGGAGTTATTGCACTGAACTAACAAATGCAATGCCTGAATACTTTGTAAGGTCTACAAAGTTTACTTTACATCTACTTTATTTTAATTCTTGCAAGACACCTGGCAGCGCTTTCTCACACAACTAAGACACATTTGCCCAAATTGTCCAATCAGATCTACTTTTCCCTGTGCCTCCCTGAATATGTTTTTTAGTTCACTGTTACACTGCTAGTCAATAAGTTAGATTTTAAACAGACAACAGACTTGACATGTTAATAATTCAAGCACTTGCTGCACAGTGCCTGTGTATAATGCAGTGCAGCACAACTGCTGGACCTGTTTTTCCTCTTCTAACTTTCTTTGTCGCAACACAACCAGTCCATTTTTTCTGCCTGTCATAGATGGGGATGCGTCAGTTTTAATGCCTACCACTCGGCGACATGGTAAACCAGCACGCTCAAACACGTCACACAGCTGCTGAAATATATATTTGGATGTGGTGCGGCCGTGCATTGGACACAAACTCAGCAAGTCTTCTGATCATAAACATCGTTGACAACTTGCTATATTGTTTAATGAGACCTTTTTTTTCTGGACATAAAATATCCGCAACTTTCAATATGCAGTCCTTCAGAAACTGGCCTTCAGTGAATATCTTTTTCTGGAGATTCATTCACTCACCACAAAACTTGCTTGAACTGCAGTATCTTCTTTTTCGGCTTGTAGAAAAAGACTACTCAGGCACTCTACATAAAATACTGCTTCGTCCATCAGTCCAACAGTCTGTGTGTATCATCCACCTTCCATTCTGATTTGGACAGCAACGTCTTTGAACCAAAATATGATTTATTTCCTAAATAATCACTTGACTATGGTGATGAAGGTCACCTGACTTTGTCGTTTCCTGCCTGTCCAAAACTCATGAAATGCGACATCTGTAACTGCTTTAAATGCGTAGACATGACGTGAATGTTCAGGGTGCCATTTATATGCAATCCCATGACATCCTGTTGGTACAACAAACAGCTACATGTTAATACACACAGTTTTATACTGTATGTGCAGCGGGTGTAGTGATACAGCCATCTCTCCTTTACTTCTCCCTAAGAAGGGAGGTTGAGGTATCACCCACCAAGCAGACAGCTTGACTCCAGGCCCTCCAAACACCCCAAAAGAGGTGGGGGTTTGAACAAGGCCTGCGCATTAAAAACTTTGTTTCCCCTCTAAGTGCTGGTTGCAAAATAATCAACCAGACAAACCACCGTTTCCTGTAAGCGTAAGATAACAGACGCAATCTTATGACTGTTAAAATGACAATTTAACCTTGTCCAGATCCACTGAACAAAATTATAAACGCAACACTTTTGTTTTTGCCCCCATTCATCATGAGCTGAACTCAAAGATCTATGACTTTCTCTATTTAAAAAAAGGCCTATTTCTCTCAAAATCTGTTTTAGTGAACAATTCTCCTTAGCTGAGATAATCCATCCACCTCACAGGTGTGGCATATCAAGATGCTGATCAGACAGCATGGATATTGCACAGGTGTGCCTTAGGCCCACCACAGTAAAAGGCCAATCAGTAGCACAGTAGGACAGTGTTACGACCCCGGCTCTCAGGCCACAACAAAGAAGGAGGATGCAACTCAGGTTTACAAAGATTAACGTAAATTTATTTAAAACAAAAGGCTAGCGTGGCAGAGCGGTGTGGCAGGCGCAAGCATCGACACTGGCGTCTGGGCAGGCAGGCCTAAATAGGTTGGGCTCACTGGCAAGGTGCTCCCAATCTCCTTAATTGCCTGCAGGAAGAAACACAGACAGCACACAGTACAGAGGCCCAACACCAAGACCTCTTGGGGCCGTCACAGACGGGTCTTGACCAGCCGATAAGCACTGCTTCGGTTCCGCTGTATATGTTCCCAACCAGCTTTGAAACCTAGAATGGAGCATAGTGGTGAATTATTAATCTGTAACAATTTTTTCTTTCATACGTAACGTTTAAACTGTGCAACTTTATGTCCATTGACTGCCTGGTGGGTATCTAACTTTTGGTAGGGAGGGTGGGGGCACTTCAGGAGCAGTGTTTTCTGTGAGAGATGTTAACTCCCTTTGGGGGGAACTTTGGACAAAACTATTATATAACACAATAAAGGAAAGGCAAGATATGCTGTTGTTGTATGTATATGATGTTAGCTAAAGTAGCAAGAGAGTCTTATCGCTGAAAACTGTTATTGCCTCAATATTAAATAGTGCTTCACCAAATGCCATTTCTCACCATGACCCACAGTAGTGATGAAATCATGTGAAACCAACATCAGACTGCTGTGGAATAACCATACGATCACTCTGCTGGTTGTTTAGGACCTTTGGGTGGAGTTTCTTCTGCAAGTACACAAAATGTAGTGCAAACCATCAGGTGAGAGGTGCTGACATCCTTGGGATGCATGACTAGATATACACAGGGTTGGGGAGTAACGGATTACATGTAATGGCTTTACATAATCAGGATACAAAAAAGTTACTGTATTCCATTACAGTACAAAAAATAACGACTTAATCAGATTACAGATACATTTTGAAAAAATGGGGATTACTCATAGGGATTACTTTAAGCAGAAAGTTTCCATGAAAAAGAAAACGCAGTGCTATTTGCCTCCATATATGTTTTTTTAACAGTAGATGGTATATGTACGTGTTTCTGTAAAAACACAAAACTGGGGAGGGACGTATCGCAGGTATTGATTGGCGTTTACAGTCGCCAGTAGCGCCGAATGTGTGTTTACGCCCCCATCCCATCCCATCGTGCAGACTCCGGACTGGTTCCAGCTCTCAGTGAGTGGACACGGCAGCTGGACCTGGACCGAGCACAACCTCCGAGACCAACAAAGTCCATTTTGACCACTGGCAAAACAGTTCCTGAGGTGTTTTTTTTGCCGGGTTTGAATTTTGGCACCCCGGGGCTAAGTAAGTTAATAGAACCACTAGCAGCACGGCTAACCAGGGCTAACCAGCCACAGATACAGGCAGATAGGTTACAGTTAGCGGTTTAGCAAAAGTAAAGCTAAATATATCCATCAAGAAGCTCTGTGTAAATCATCTCAGTCGTGGATTCCCTGTTGGTCTCTGAGGCTGTGTTTGATCCTGTTCAAGCTCCCCAAGCCCAAATATAAATTAATGTAAAAAAAACATGGTGCTACGCAATTAATCAAATTTTAATCTCAATTACGATTTTGGCTTCTACCAATTTACAACAACAGTAGTCACCATTATTAGATAAATTCATTAAATGAATTTATAATAATTAATAATAATAATAATAATAATTTTTGCCATTATCAAGCATCAACACTTCACTTAATACATGAAATAATAGATAATATTTTGTTGTTTGAAACTTTGTCTCTGCCTTTTTTCTTTATAGGTTAATGCTTTATTCAGTAAAGTTTAATTTTTAACTTGATAAAAATACGAAATAGTGTGGTCGCTTGCTGGTGAAGAGCACATTATGACTTTTTTAGGACTCGAAACCCAAAGTTTAGGCCTTGAGACTTACTTGTGACTTGAAAAAATGACATGGTCCCAACTCTGATGCATACACTGAAAATATCTCCTGCTTCCAAGGGTCACTAAAGTGGTCACTTTAACTGTCACGGTTCTGGTGTGGTGAGTGTGTGTTTTCAGTGTTTCCAGTTTTAGTTTGTTGGTAGTTTCTGGTTCATTGTTTTATTTATGTTTCTCACTGCTGCTTATTACCTTACTTGCGTTTCATGTTATGTCTCTGGATAATTACCTTGTGGTCCTAGTCTGCTTCCCTGCCTGCCAGAACCTTGTCTGCTAGCTGTCAGCCCTCTTCCCAGCCTGTGAGTGATCATCTCTGATTCTCAGTCTAATGATCTCCAGTAGGCTAGCCTCCAGCTAACAACCCCTTCCAAGCTTCTTCCTGTTTCCTACTCAGCCAAGGTGGATCATGAGTTTCCCCTCCGTGGCTTCTGGCTAGTCACAGGACGGCACCCTAGGGAACAGCCTTTGCAACCAGAGAAAGACTCCAGTACACCCATCTCTCTGCTGAATTTCTTTGCTAACAGTGCTAAGAGGTCAGAGCTTACACAAATTATTAACTCCCCACCAATTATGCTGAAGATTATTCCTGCTCCAACCAGTTACCTGCCTGATCCAGCACCAGTAAAATGATCCCGAAGGAGCTTGCCGCCCTCGTGCCACTCTGCAGTCCTGCTCCAATGAGTCATCACAGACCAGGTCTTCAGCCTCACCACTATCCAGCCCCATCATCCTCATCACTGCCGAGCTCATTCTCCTCATCGCCACTCAGCTCCTCAGCCTCACTGCTGACCACCCTCCTCATTGTCCTCATTGCCTTCCAGCTCCTCTTCCTCGCGACCCGACATCTTCCTTGGTGGCGCAGATGAGGCAGGACACAGGTGCATGATTAGTAATGCATTTATTATATACTGAAATTATTTATATTTACGTTTATGTTTATGCATATATATATATATATATATATACATACAGTATATATATTATAAACAACAGTTTGCAATGTGTTATCACACAAAGACATCATCCTTCTATAAGCGAGGAACCTCTCTATGTCTGTATGTATAGAAGCTATTATGGTCAGTGGAGGTGGAAGCAGAGAGACAGGTTGATGAACCGAGTCATGCTGATGAGAGAGAGAGAAGGAAGAGGAGGTACAGGCAGAGCTGCAGGAGAAGGAGAAGGTCAATAGAACCAGACAAAACAGTGACAGGTACCGGACGGACCACAAAGCTGGTGTCAGTCAAATGAGAGTTGTCGAAATTCTGGCAGGAAAAAGCAAGCTTGTCACCTGAGCACCGGGAGCGATCACGGTGGACGGGTCTCTCGGTGGCCACTTGAGCGGCTCATTACAAAACAAAGAGAGAGATCAGTGTCAGCAGCTGAAGACAGAAGACAGTAGGTGGAAGATAAGGAGATTGTGGGTTTGGCTAGCTGACTATGTAGCCATATCAGGTTCCTTTTGCTGAAACATGTTCAACTTTTCATAAAATCGATGTGCTCGGCAATGTCACTTCGTCAACTGACCAATCACAGTGTTGATGGGGCGGGAAATGAAAATGGTTTGACGTGCTACAGTAAACTTTCAAATGTTGAACTCCTCCTACATGAATGGTGTGCAAGAAAAATGCACAAGGATTTAACGACTGAAAACAACTCACAAACATGAAACTTCTGTTTTGTCCAAGTGGAATTAATATTATACCGGTGGTGAGATACATTGTATAGGCTACTATGAAATAAAATGACAATGCATATAGTAAGATTATATAATTAGTATATTAACATACTGATAGTATATAATTAGATTAAAATTTCACTTTCTATTTAATGTTGTAATATTACACTAATTTAAACTAGTTTCTCCTCCATGTTGTGGAAAGAGCCTCTGCAGTGGAAAGATGCACATTTCCACTGCACAGGATGCCGGTGTGCCAGTATATGTGCTCCTTCTAGCCGCCTCCTGAGAGCAACACGTTCACCTTGTTCTGTTTTACAAAATTTTTTGTAATACGGTTCAGTAGTATTCTTTACAATAGTTGTGGCGTGGGTTTTGTGGGTTCTGCAGGTACCATGCATCCATTCCTGGTTCAAAAACTAGACAAGCACCAATCACAGTAAAGTTTTTTGTGATGAGTGATCCGTGTTTTAAAAGCTGTTTTCAATGTGTCACATTTTAAAAACGACTGTTTTAATATTTTAAAAAGCTTTAACAAAATTTTAAGGCCAATGCAGAGTGTCCAGATATAAGTGTCTTCACTTCCATAGTCCTCCAGTGGTTTCATACCATAGTTGAACACAAAGAGAAGGAGCACACACAGTGTAAATATGTTTATAATAAATAGTTTGTTAAACTCTGTTACTTGAACATTTTTCGCTGTGCTCCTAAATTTCTATGTGTGCTCCTAGATTATTTTATTTAGGAGCACATGTTAGCGTAGAGCCCTGAAACACACACTGCAATATGTTAGGGGAGTGCATTGTAGTTTTTGATTATATTTAACTATTTTAGTACTCTCACTGACTCAGGCTTGTCTGACCTGGTCTTGTTCAGTGCAGTGGTGCCTTGCTTATACAAAGTGAGGAGGCAGGTGTCATACTAAAGTTTCTTGAAGGTCGTCCGCATAATCTGATTCACTGTATACAACAAAAACACTATATGTATTAAAATAACTGCAAAAAATCTTTCTCCCCGCCCCCAAAGGGCGCTCGCATGAAAGGCCTCTCCGTCTTATAGTCCAGAGCTGAATTTCAGAACCAGTACACCGCTGGTTGTCCTCATCCCTCCTGTGTGTGTATATACTGTATATAGTGGTTGTCGTCCTGGTGGTAGTTGCTGGTTCATTGTTTCATTCATGTTTCTCATTGTTGCTTTTGACCTTACCTATGTTTCATGTTATGTCTCTGGAATATTACCTTTTGTACCTTGTAGCTTCTGTTTGGATTTATGGACTACTCACTTTTCAGTTGCGGATTACTGTTCCGCAACTGTTTTTGTTTTGGACTGCCAGCTCTACTTTACCACATTTGTAAGTTCCCCCTTTTGGATAAATAAATCACACTTATATTCTATTTGATATAAGTCCGCTCCAGTGTCTGCATTTGGGCCTAAAACCCCCATCTCAAGTGTCAGCCTACAGCAGCGTGTAACATTAACACTCAAATGGGCTGTTCTGGAAAGCACTGATAAGTAAACAATTTTGTCATGTTGGTACAGTATGAGGACTTCTTAGTTAAAGACATATGTAAGCTTCCTCTAAATATTCTTACTAGCACATGAAATTGTCACAATGAGCAGCCTTCTTTTTTTCACTCTGAATATGGATAAATTGTGAACATGACATGACTCAGTCTTACTCCTTACACAAGTTTATTCCAGGTATATTATTAAGTTTTATTATGCCAGTTTCACATCACCTCCTCTGTATACATGTTTCCTCTCTGACATCTTGGGGGTGTTGCTGTGAGTAGCGACAGCCATCATAACATATTATCACTAAGGGACAAGCAATCACAAAGCATGAACATTTCAAATTGTCTTTCAAAGGGTTTAAATAAACCTTTTCATATATATTCTTCTGTTATCTGTCTATTCTTCTGTTCATTAACTACTTACTTCTATTTTACTCCTATACTGAAACATTATCTTCCCAATTTCCCCAAACCTGGAGCATAAATTTAATCTGATCTCATAAAAAGTTTCAAACTCTGAAAACCTCCAAGCACCCTTCATTTAAGTTACAATGTGGAAAATGAAACTGATATAAGTTCTCAATTTCTT